CTATGAAATATTGTCTATATTTTTTCTAACCTATTAAGATTCTTTTAGATTCAACTTTAACAGAATAAATAAAATTTCAGAATATGCATGGCAACACTGATAGGGAGAAAATGTGCAACAGAACTTGAATTTCTCAAAAAATCTAGACTTACTGGATCAATTGCAACTGGAGGGATCCCTGAGACTATTGCCCAGAGATACTCTTTTAACTTTGAATCAAAACTATCCCTTGCAGTCACCTTTTAGCTAAATACCAGGTTAGCTCATAAAATAAAGACTATCACCTTTGAGTATTGCAGTCCTTTAAAACAAAACAAAACAAAAAGTCATATATATAAGACCAAGTGTTCAATAATTACACTAAAGCATAGATTAGAAATTTGGGGACCAGATTGATTAGGTTAGTACAGAACAACTAGAATGGAAATAATGAGAATGTTGGCACAATAGGAAGAATGTAACCAGTGCACTGAACAACATGTGTAGAGATTGTTGAATGGGAAATTTTTTTGCTGTGTATACTTTCACCAAAACTACAGTAATACATATAATTTTTTGACTCCTTTAGGAAATGAGCACAAATGCAGAAGATTTTTGCAAATCTCAAACTGTGTAAATATCTTAAGGTTGATGTTGAATTCTGAAGTTACATCATTGGTGAAAATGAGAAGAACCTAACTTTAAGAAACAAATCAGACCTGTTCTAGAGATGTTGCCATGATTAGAAGTTTTTAATTATTACTTTATGGTTTTGGATCGGGGAGAAGCTTAAAAGTATTGATTCAAGAGCTTTTACTATAGACAACAAGGCAAATAAGGCAATAATAATAATAAATATAGATTCTATAAGCAAGAACAATCAGGCATAATTTAATCAACAGAAGGGATAAAGAAATAAAGTTAGTGAAATAACTGGTTTGAATAATCTCTAACGCTCTGGTAGCATAGTGCCTAAGGCACTTGACTACTAACCAGAAGACATGGTTCAAACCCCCCAGCCACTCCTCGGAAGGAAGATGGGGCAATCTACTTCCGTAGTGATGATGCCTCGGAAACCCAAGGCAGGGTTGCTATGAGTCTGGTCCGACTCAACAGCACATAACAACAACAACAATATAAATCCAAGTGAAGATTCCTATAACAGATTTAGAATTCCATTTTTTTAATTTCCTATTTATAACCATGGATTTAGCAAACAATATGTATGACATTATGTGTAATACATAACACAATATAGGCCCTTAGATTTTTCCCTGTCCTTTTCCTTCCTGGTGTGCATTCTTTGTTTATCTGTAGGCTTTAGGGTTGCCGGATTAAGCAAGTAAAATGTAAGATACACAGTGAAATTTGAATTTAGATAAACAAGTAACTTTTAAGTATAAGTATATTCTATGCACCATTTGGGACATACTTACACTAAAACATTGCAAACAACACTGCCATGGAGTCAATTCCGACTCATAGCCACCCACATTACATTTCTGAGGCAGTAAATCTATACAGGTAGATTGCCCAGTCTTCCTTCTGTGGAGTGGCTGGTGGGTTTGAACCACCAGCCTCCTAGTTAGCAGTCACAGGCACTGTGCTACCTGAGCTCCTTAAGTCATTGTTTATCTGAAATTCAAATTTCATTAGGCATCTTCTGTTAAACCTGGTACCCCAAGAAGGCTTGCTTGATCCATATCTATATCTCTCACAGACACAAGTTTCAGGAGAACAGATACACTGTTTTGCTCACCACTTCACTTCCAGTTTTCAAGCACAGTGCTTAGCACTTGGAAACCAAAAAACCAAACTCACTTCTATCAAGTTGATTCTGACTCATAGCAACCCCCATTAGGTTTCCAAGGCTGTAAATCTTTACGGAAGCAGACTACCTCATCTTTCTTCTGCAGAGGAACTGGTGGGTTCAAACCACCAACCTTTTGGTTAGCAGCCAAACACCTTAACCACTCACCACCAAACCTCCTCACTTAGCACTTGTTATTGTTGTTGTTATATGCCGTGGAGTTGGCCCCTACTCATAGCGACCCCTCCTTGGGTTTCTGAGGCAGTATCGCTACGGAAATAGGATTGCCCAACCTTCCTTCCGAGGAGTGGCTGGTGGGTTTGAACCGCCAGCCTTCTGGTTAGCAGTCAAGTGCCTTAGGCACTATGCTACCAGAGCTCCTGCTGCTGAGGTTTAGAGAGTTTAAAAACAAAAGAAGCAGATCTTCCATTCGAGACTTCTTTAAGTGTACCATTTTACGTAATAAATATTCTATCAGATAAAACAGATAGGAGTAAATTCTTTTTTAAAAAAGAGATTCCAAGAAGCCGATTCTCCTACTACAAATAACTTTTAATTTTAAATTTTCAATTAATACTCTTTCAAGAACAGTTATTGCACAAAGCAAGTTAGATTTATAGTTTTAAGTTCTATTGCAGATTATACAGCTAATCTTTTCTACCAGGATCTAAAACTAAAAAACAGACATGGTCAGGAGAGACAGGAAATATTTCCAATCCATATTTGGAGAAGGTGGCACAACTTTGAAATCTTTATCTTCTTATTTACTTATTGAACTCCCATGGAAGTTCTGTTCCATATTAGAAAAAGCAGAACAGGTTAATCTTGGGGATCTTTGCTAGCTCATAAAGAGTCAATGTCTTAAGTGTACTTTTTATAAGGCTTACCTTTTAAGCCTCTGAGCAGGACTCACTTGGGTGAGTTATGAAAGTTTAGAAAACGTATGGTAGAAGGAGAAAAATTCTTTGGAAAAGAAAATAGATATGTGTGTTTTAAATGCTAGGAACATTACTCTGGGTTATCCACTGATGCTCAGAAAGCAAGGCTTTTCACTGCTGCTTGAATAACATCTTGCATCAGGGTTCAGTTCTGCTGCCTAAGAGAGTTTAGGAGTCTGAGGTTCCAGTTCTTAGCCATGTGCCTCAATATCCAACATGTGTCTTAGTTCTCTGGCTCTAGAAGAGAAAAGGGGAGCGTAGTGTCTAAGGTATTTGACTGCTAACCAGAAGGCTGGCGGTTCTAACCCACCAGTTACTCCTCAGAAAGAAGATGGCCAATCTACTTCCATAGTGATACTGCCTCAGAAATCCAAGGAGGGGTCACTATGAGTCACATCTGACTCCACAACAATGAGTTTCATCTTTGATTTGGTTAGAAGGGAAAAGAAGTCCCTGTGAGGTGCAAATGGTTAATGTACTTACTGCTAACCAAAAGATTGGTGATTCAAATCTACCCAGAGGTGTCTTATAAGAAAGGCCTGTGGATGTGCTTCTGAAATATCAGCTATTGAAAACTCTATGGAGCGTGGTCTAACCTGACACACGTGAGGTAGCCATATGTTGAAATCGGCTGGACAGCAAGTGGTATACCAAAAAAAAAAAAAAAAAAGAATACAAACTCACTGCCATCAAGTTAGATTTGACTCATAGGGACCCCTCCTTCGATTTCTGAGGCAGTATCACTATGGAAGTAGATTGTCGCATCTCCCTTCCGAGGAGTGACTGGTGGGTTAGAACCGCCAGCCTTCTGGTTAGCAGTCAAATGCCTTAGGCATTACACCACCAGAGCTCCTAGCAAGTGGTATAGAAGAGAAAAAGAGTAAGCTCACTCTGAGAACACTTAGGGATACTTAATCAGTCTAGGATAAGTCTCCTTACTGGACGTGCGGAAGTAGATGGGCTCTTGCTATTGCTCTGTCGCCATCATTGTCAGTTGCTGTTTTGGAATGGCCAGCCCTCTGCTTGGTTCCCTCAGCTGCGTTGTGCTCTCACAAGAAAACTGTCTCATTCTTTCACTACCACTATTTCACTTCTTCTTCCCAGTCCTTTCAGATAACCCCTTCCAATTTTAGCTCTTTTAAAATTTCTGTACCTTTTATTCTCTATTAGTTTTTTTTTTCTTTTAAGACCTATGATTGGAAATTTTTGTTCTGATTCTAAAAAAGTCATAGCTTTCAAACTCTAACAAGTTAACTCTTTGGTTAGATTATTTTTAATTTTATCATTTTCAACAAAAGTTTGGATTTATTTCCAACTTCTGTAATTCTCAAGTGACATTATGCTTTTTTTTTTCTTTTTTAAAGACCATATATTTTATCATTAAATAAGCTCATGCTGCAGTTAGACATACTTTGGTTCAAATAGCAGATATGTCATTGTCAGCAAGTTACCTGACCGTTTTATGCCTCAGTTTACTTATCTGTAAAATGGAGCTATTTCCACACATCTGAGAGGGTTTGTGTAAACTTTTGACACATAAAATACCTAATATATGTTTTACTTAGTAATTCTCAATAGATGAGAACCTGAACAAGACCCATGATAGATGCTCAGATGGGAACTGTTAGCATCATCATCATCACCACCACCACCACCACATACTATTATTATATAATAATATATCTCTAGAACTGGACTTCAAGTCTGCACTCTGACACACATCTACTGTGACTTTGGACAAGTCCTTTATATTCTTTTTAACTGAAAATGGTAATAACAGTAATGCTTGCTTCATGCATTCATGTTTTGAAAAGGGCCAGCAAAAACAAGGGGAAGTTTCATCAATGAGATGAATCGACATAACAACCACAACAGACTCAAACATGAAAATGGCTTTATTTTTTAACATTAATTATTTTACATCCATCTATAAGATTTCTGTGAGTCAGAGCTGATTTGATGGCAACTAACAACAGCTTTATACATAGAGTTGTTTTGAGAATGAAATGAATTAATACTTACAACTTAGTACCATGCCTAGAACATGGTAAGTACTTTAATAAATGTTAACTTTTATTTTCTAGAAATTTGAGTGCTACAAGTAAGCAAGTACAAAGTTGTATGAGTTAATAGAACATCTTGTCTTGATGCCTCCAAATTTGATATCATAATAAATAGCATATCAATCATTGCTGTGATAATGCTAACTTTTAAAAATGTGTCTACTTTTGCCTGTACTTTAGCCACTTCTGTATAATTGAGGAAAATCAACAATGGATTCTGTAAGGAAGGGTCCTGGAAGGCTGCATAACCCAGTAGAAAGCATTTGCAGAAAAATTAGAGCCATCCAAAAGAGAGAAGCAATTTCAAATCCGATTCAACAGATTCTCAAATACCAATCTTGTAGTTTTGATAGTCCACAGAATAACATCAAGAAAGATTTTGAAGAGGTACTGAAGAAAATGAAGGCTGCTCACATTTCTACACCCTACAATCATTCTTCAAGTTCTGAGAAAGAAAACTCCTTCATTTCGTCTCTTCAAATGGTATCTCCAAGAACCCCACCCATCTCTTATCTCTGCTCTCCTGAGAATGAAACGTATTCTGTTACGTTTACAAATTTTGAAAACATCTCAAGGTGGAGAACACAGAGCTCCTGGAATTATATTTCTTTGATGTCACATATCAGAAAAGGGGAGTTCTACTTTAACAAGGATTTAAATAACTTTTGTAATGAAATTAATCTTAGTATCTTAACACTTGACCTTGATTCCACCTCTGATGAAATCTCTGAATGTTTTACTCCTCAGGATTCAGTGGTGAAAAAATTATTTCTGAATGAAGAAGGTAAATATGAATCCACTAATGTTTGTTCTTCTAATAAAGCATTAAACATAAGCATATATACTATTAAAATTCCTGAATTTAAAAGAATGCATGTTACTAAAGTTTGAATGGAAGTATCCATCTTCCCCTTTTTATTTTTGATATGTTTTTATCCTCTTAAAAAAAAAGTTCTAGGTGAAATATAAGTATTTCCTATGTCTCGAATTAATAACCTGATAGAAAAATCTGGATTGTATTTACAATCATAACCATGTGATATATCTCTGCTGATGGAAAACAAACTTTCTCAAGGCCAAATTAGAATGGCAGGATGAGAATGCATAGGTATTACGGAATTAAAATTGATAGTTTCCAGCTTTCTTACTGAAAACCACCACTTTAGTGTTTCTTTTGTGTGAGGGTATATTAAAATAAGTGTTGCATTGCAGGAACCAATGAGCTAGGTCATGGAGGATGTAAAATTCTCAGTCCAATTGAAATTGAGGGGCTTCTAGTTAGGGGTCAGCTAATGGTGCCATACATGATGTTGTTGTTAAGTGCTGTGGAGTCGGCTCAGACTCATAGTGACCTTCTGTATGTCCCTGAAAACCAAAGCAATGTGAAATGACACATCTTCTGTATAGCTCGTTTCTGCTTCCCCTCTATTTTTCTTAAAAATATTTCTACTTCTATTTTACTATTTGCTTTCTCACAGAGCACTTTTACAGGGTTAAAAAAAACCTCCCTCATTCCTCTCTCCTACTTCTCCTCTTCACCCCCACACATCAGAGGAAAAATGAACAGTAGATGCTTCAAGATCACTTTTCTGATTGGTCTATCAAGTGAAGTAACCAGTATTGTGAGCTGATGTTTATTAAAATATGTTTTCTTGGTTAAGATTAAACTTAAAAATTAGCAATTAATCATTGTAGCACAGAAAAGTATCTAGATTTGCAAACTTTTCCTTCTTATAGGATGTAAACTAGGAATGAATGATGGCAAAGAAAATGTATCCTGCAGCATCAACAAGACGTGTGAAGAAGAGTTACTCACGAGTGTTTTTCATGCATGTGACACAAAACACAGAGGTAAGTTAAAAATTATCTGCTGAAATGATTGGTTAATGTCCCTGGGTGGCACATACTGTCTGTACTCAGCTGGTGACAGAAAAGTTGGAGGTTCCAAAGTACCCAGCAGTACTGTGGAGATCCAGGCCTGGGATTGGCTTTCGTAAAGATTGCAGCCAAGCCTACTCCATAGCAAATGGAGTCTCTACAAATGAACACCATAGCAAATTACAAAAACACCTCAACAAGCATTCAATGATTGGTGATGCTCACTTGAGTACTTTCAGTTGTGAGACAAAGGGAAATGACATGTGGGCTGGTCTTTGTGTACCTGTGTCTGCACATCTGGTAGATACACTCTAATTTGGGAGTGAATATGGCTGTTTAAAGGAGCCACGATGGTACAATGGTTAAGTGCTTGGCTGCCATCTGAAACATCGGTGGTTCAAACCCACCAGCCATTGCCCCAGAGAAAGATGTGGCAGTCTGCTTCCATAAAGATTTGTAGCCTTGGAAATCCTACAGAGCAGTTCTACTCTGTCCTATTGGGTCATTATGAGTTGGAATCAGCTCAGTGGCAGTTGTTTGGTTTAGTGGTACAACAGTTAAATGCTTAGCTGATAACCAAAAGGTTGGCTATTGGAACCCACCCCACAGCACTGTGGGAGAAAAATCTGGTGATCAGCTCTTGTAAAGATTACAGCTTAGAAACCCTATGGGGCAGTTCTACTCTGTCGCATAGGGTCATTATGAGTTGGAATTGACTTGACGGAACACAACAACAACATGGATGCTTAGGGCTTGATTTTCTTTTCAATTTCTTATTTTGTACTTATTTTGCATATTTTATCAGTGACTTGATTAACTTTTTTGAGCTTATCAGCTGATTTACCAGTTCTAATCATTTTATTGGAATTATTTACATTTCATAAGTGTTGCCTTACAAGAAACATATAATATACATCAAAGGTGTAAAACTTCTATACAACTTTAGTTCAAAATTTTTTAGTTAATTTTAGATTTTCACTTCTGTATTTTTAAAAGTTGTGTTCTTTAAAAAATTTCCACAACTAATTTTTAGTACATAAATAATTTATATTCATGGTATAATAAAATTAATAATATAGATTTAAAAATGAAAGGAAAAATAATCAGTAATCCTATTTTCCCAAAGAACTGTTGTTAGTTGTATATCTTTCCATAATATAAAATAACTACAAGCCAGGGACTATAGGCTATCATTGCTGTTGGGGTTGCTCACTCTAAGCCTTTTCTGTAGTCAGATCTGGTAAGTACTTTCATTTTTTGAAGATAAAATACATCATGAGTTCATAGCCTTTCTTCCAATGCAAATTCAGAGTAACAGGTTTTTTTTTTTTTTTTTTTTTACTTACCTCTTAGTTGGGAGCTCTGGTAGCATAGTGGCTAAGGCACTTGACTGCTAACCAGAAGGCTGGCGGTTCAAACCCACCAACCACTCCTCGGAAGGAAGGTTGGGCAATCCTACTTCCGTAGTGATACTGCCTCGGAAACCCAAGGAGGGGTCGCTATGAGTCGGGGTCGACTCGACGGCAAATAACAACAACAACAACAACAACCTCTTAGTTAATAAAATAATTAAAATTATGTTCCATGATCCCACACATACCTCATCAGCAGCCAAATCAATCATCTAAAAAGAGGTCAGAATGTGTCAAGGATGGAGGATTTGTGAGGTGAGTTCTTTAAAGAGAGCTGTCAAGCTAAGTCTCCACAACCCCCAATAGGTGATAGGATGAAGGAGGTGCTACCTCCTTCACATCAAGTCTAGGGAGGGAGGCTTCCATGGGGCCATTTGGTTTGAGATGTGCTCTGTGAATTTAGAGGACACCAAGGACGGTGCATGACTCATGGCTGAGAGAGCTAAAGCAATTTATAGCAATAGGAGATCTGCTTCTGCTTAGGATATATCTGTCTGCTCAGAATTTGTTTGCACAAAGAAGGCATGAATGTTTCTCAAGGCCCATAGAGGAGCCAAAGGCAAGGGAAAGTCAGTATAAGTCATCTTGGCACTGCCCACTAAGATCATGTACAGGTAGTCCCCAGCTGACCTTATGGTTCCAATTTCACCACTCAGTTGTTAAGTTGGTTCTGACATCAGAACCACCTTTTTTTTTTTTTTTTTCTTCTTCTTAGTTTTCATTGATAGTGACTTTCATTATCAATAAAGAGCTCTGTGGTGCCCTGATTAAGGCATTTGGCTGCTAACCAAAAGATCTGTGGTTCAAACCCACCAGCAGCTCTGTAGAAGAAAGATAAAGCAATCTGCTAAGATTTACAGCCTTGGAAACCCAGTGGAGGTCACTATGAGTCAGAATTGACTCAATGGCAGAGAGTCTGGTTTTGGTTTTATTATCAGTATAAAGCTGATCTTTATTTGTCTTTGAGGGTTGGAAATATTTCATATAAACTTCAATATCCCTACTTCTGATTCTCCAGTTATATGTGCATTATGTAAACCAATAAAAAAATGAAAAACAGAGTGTTATACAGTGTGGTTTGTAGTAACTTGAATACATTATAAATCAGGGTCTATCTGTAAAAATTTGAAGATTTTCTAGTCTCAGAAGCTGGAGGTGGATGCTTAGCTCCTAGTGGTTGCTTAAGGAGTTTCACCTGATTATGTCAACTAGAGATAATCCCCCATATTCAAGAGCTTCTGTGAAGGGCTGTCAGCAATAGGAGTCTATCAGAACACCCTACAAAGTCAGATTCAGAAGGAGTGAAGCCATCTAATCAAGTAAGAGCCATGTATCACTTTTACTTCTCTCTGCTGCATCTACCTTTGAGCTTGGCATGGTCAGAATATCTGGATAACAAGCTGAGTAAGAAAGAGGGAAGAAGAAACACTGGGGAAGGGGGTGGGAAAAAAGTTGGATCTTCTCTCCTCCCCACTTTTACCCACTGTAATCAGGCAGCCCAAGGCAAGCCTTAATTGTGTGTGTATTGGGGGTTGGAAGTGGACAAGAGAAGGAAAGACGATAATTCCATTTAATTTAGAATGGTTTTAATCTGAATATGAGGATAGGACTTACTGTAGCTAAGAATATACCCAAAAGTACTTACTTGAGATTGAAATTTCATCTAAGGCAGAGGAAAAACCTCTTCACTGAATATTTGTTAAAGAAAGAATGAGTGACAGAAATTAGTTTTTGATTATCTTCCACATTTGATTACATATATTATCATAATGAAAACTTATAGGTAGGTATTGTCATCCCTATCTCACAGTTAATGAGGCTAAGGCTCAGCAAGATGAAGTAATTTTCCCAAAGCCACACAGCTGGTGAATCTCAAAGGCAAGATTTGATACTAGGTCCATTTGACTCATAGGCAAAGGCAGTGCTCTATTCACTATTCCATTCCAACTCATCAGAGTTGTGAGGATTGTGTGGCATATTTCCAGAATCTGAATGAGTTGAGCACCTTACTTTTTAAAAAATGTCTTCCACCATCTTTCAAAACAATTTGCTTTACTTCCTCCTAAGGTTCAGTAGGAGTTGCCAAAATAATAGATTATTTGAGGCAAACAAGCAGTCAAGAAAACTATGAAGATGGTGGCCTCGAGGAGCTGTGGAACATGCTTGATCCTCAAAAGAGAAACCCACATTTGGATCTGGAAACGTTCCATGCCATCATGAAGGGATGGGTGGCTTACTGTAGAAACAAAAGGTAATCATAGTCCTGCAATGTGATTTTCAGGTTCTGTTTTAACAATCCATTATGATGGATGCTATTCACTGTTTCTTACTTGATGAAAATACTATAATACAGAGCTTCTCACATTTTACCATACATTAGAATTACCTGAGCTGTGGTAAACCCGATTCAGTATGTCTGGAGTACTGCTTAATAATTTGCATTTCTGATAAGTTTCCAGGTGATGCTCATACTGCTGCTTATGGGGTTACAGGAAGACACATTTTGAGAACCAGTCCTCCAGCCTATTAATTCTGACAACATTTATTTACAATGATGAGGCAGGGAGCACATATTATCACATTCTTACAAAGAATGGAGGTACATAGAAGTGAAATGAATTAATTGATGGTGACTGTCAAATCTCCAAGTGCATTTCCATTAAGAGTGAATTCCCTTTTAAGGTCATTAGGGCAAGGCAGTGAGTTATTTGGAAGCTTACAATATAGGGACAGTAAAGAGAAAAGAAAAGTATTGTGTGATAGAAAGAAAAAGGTAAACAAGGAGAATGTTTCTTATGATTTTGAGTGCCCTTTAATTGATACTGAAAAAGTATATCTTTCACAGAAGGCTAATTCTTGCATATCTTATTCAGCCACCAGATCTCTAGCTCTCAGCTGATACATCCTACGGAAGTTGCTTAAGGGAAATTTCAAGCCCAAGAGGTGACACATCTTGGTAGATTTCAGGTAGAGCTAGGATAGCATACAGGAATATGATAGAAATGTTGTTTGACAGATAGCGCTTAATTGTGAAGGCAAGACGAACATATAAAAATATCTAACCTTACTAGTTGTCAAATAAATGCAAATAGACAACACTCTTGTCTATCAATTTGACAAAGATTTAAAAGAATGCTTATAACATGTTGCCAAGGGATGGAGAAAATCAGCATCATATGAAAATGGAGGATAATGACATCATTATACAACTGACAAACTACATAATTATATAACTGCCAAACCACTGAGAATCATGCCTCAGCCAAGTGGACATATAACCTTAACCATCACAGCCAGTGTTCATCTCCCCTCATTTTTTGGGAGTTGTTACTATTAGGTATATGTCATTAATCCACAAAATGAATAGATTTTTTTTACAATTATTGTAAATTCAAAATGTCAGATAACAAGATGGTCTATAAGTGAGGAATAGATGTTTTTAAAAAAAGAATTGGACAAAAAAAAAATCATAGTACTTCTATATACTGGAATACTAGTCATTCAAAGTTATCAGTAGATAAATAAATAGTCAACAAGAGAACTATTCATAGGTACTTATTTAAAAAATAAGTCATAGATCTTACCTATTTTGGGCAGCATGATTTATTTTGCAGATTAGAGTCAAAGCTTGTGGAAGGTGTTTTGTTTCTATCACCATAAGCCTTTACTCTATCTGAAAAATAAAATAGGATGAGGCCCAATAACTACCTAGCACAGTGCTGGACCCCAAATACTTGATATATATAGTGTATTTCTACTTTTGTTAAGATACATAGGAAATAGTTGGAAAGAACATATATCAAAATGTTAACTGGGCCTCTGCATGATGATTTTTCCTCCTTTTTGTGAATTTTTCTAAAATATGTAAATTTATATAATCAAAATTGTAACAATCTATAAAACAGAGTGATAATAATAAAGGAAAAGCAGAAACATGGGAGGCATAAATACAAAATATAAAAGACAAAACTCAGAAATGTTGGATAAGTGCACGTATAGAAATAGTAAAGATGCTGTGTGAACCTTTTGGTTAGTCACCTTCCAACAGACATCTCACATGAAAAAGAAAGAAAACTTCAGTACAAATTTAGAGAATATTGTGGTTGCTCCAAGAAGATAATCTGAAGATTTGGCATTTGGAAAAATCAAGTAATAAAACTTAAAATCATAATACAAAGACTCTTTGAAAAGAAATGGTTGAAATTTTCACATGTTTTGAGTGTTAGAGCTAGGGTTTATGTACTGGACAGAGACTTGTACAGAGGGTTCCATAGATTTCAAGATTAAAAGCCTTGAAGTACAATTAGCATAAATTCAATTTAGTTTTCCACAGGAAAGAGAACATGATAACATCAATATATCTCAAGATTTTAGTTGTTCATACCCTTCTCTTCCTTTCCCAATTCTTTAAAACCTATGTATTGCTACCTCCACAAGCCTGCACTTACCACTCCTAACGATGCCTATTTCCTAATCCATCGAGGCCTCCTGTACCCTAATCATATAGTGCCTTAAATATGACTTACCTGTTTTGGGGGACATGTTTTATTTTGCAGATTAGAGTCAAAGCTTGTGGAAGGTGTTTTGTTTCTATCACCATGAGCCTTTACTCTATCCGAAAAATAAAATAGATGAGGCCCAATAACTACCTAGTGCGGTGTTGGACCCCAAATATTTGATAAATTAATCAATGGTTTTAAAATTGAGGAAGAAATACCTATCTAGGAAAGTATAGTAAACTTCTGAAGAAATGAAGTAAGCTTTGGTCTGGCAAAGAATCCTCGCCTGCTGGCTTTGTTTTTGGTTGCAGGGAAGGACTGAATAGTGGAACAAGTAGCAGCATGGAAAATTCTGCTTTTGAACAACAGGACAGCATAAAATCAAGTGGAAAAAGTATGTTTATAGTTCTTCGGGATTGTTCTACCACTTTCTTGTGGTTTTTGAAAAAAATATTTTTAAATGAAATTCTCTTGTATGTGTTACAGTAAAGATGACTACAGCTGTAACAGAAGCGGCAGCAGGGCGCTACGAGGCTTTTGGCAAAGAAAAGTCAAAGGGGATCTTGTAAGCGTTTTTGTAATGCTTCCTCAAGTGCCTCAATTTTTCTTATTTGTTTCATAGATCTATATATTTTACTTATGGTAAATGCACTTGGCACTTAGCTCTTTTTTTGAGGTAGAGCTAACAATTTATTTAAAATTCTTAACTATTTACTATAACATCTGCATTCAAACTAGTTTCAATAAGAACACAAATTCTTGTAAGACTAGTAATCTGCAATTATTATTTATTCATCATGAAGCCCTTCTCTTTCATTGACTTGATACGTTTTCTATAGAAAACAAGTTCCGTTTGAGGTAGGGCTATTACATTAACCTTAAACTCTTCTAGAGATTATTTTTAAAGCACTTTTTAAATAGATATTTTTAGGCATGAATAAGAAAAGCCATTTTCCACTAAACGTTTGAGTTTTAAATATTAAGGACAGGTGGTTCTGTCTCTCCCTTATTTCATCTTTGCTACTTCATGTTTATCCACCAAAAATTACAGTAGGAATGATGTACCCAACCTTGTGCTAAGCACTGGGATGAGATTGCAAAGAGCAAGAGGAGACTGGAGACAGGAGACTGACTCTTACAGTCCAAACTGTCAAAAGGTTTATGTCTTAATATCAAGGGTAGTACCTCTGGTGGCATAGTGCCTAAGGCATTTGACTGCTAACCAGAAGACTGACAATTCAAACCCACCAGCCACTCCTTGGAAGGAGAGGTTGGGCAATTTATTTCCGTAGTGATACCGCCTCGGAAACCCAAGGAGGGGTTGCTATGAGTTGAAATCGACTCAATGGCAGTGAGTTTTGTTTTGGTTTGGTTTAGTGATATAACATTAATAAGCTACGTAAAATATCAAAGAGAATAAGAGTACTAAATCATGAGCTTCAGGCTATATATGTAAGAATTTAGGATTGCTCCCCAGTTAAAGGCCTATTTAAAACTGCCAATATCACTTGACTGAAAGAAGAATAATGTCAATCGTGTCTGGATCTGCCCTGGCCCAAGCAGAAATAGGTATTTTTCAATACAGAAGATTTAACTGTTGGAAGTGAAGTGAGAAGGAATAAATAAAAGCTATAGAAGTTGATTTCACAACTGGAAAATGCAGAATATGTGGCACTTTTGGAAAATTCTCTGACGCTATTGTACCCACAGGAGCTCTGGTGGCATAGTGCCTAAGGCATGTAACTGCTAACCAGAAGGGTGGCGGTTCAAACCCACCAGCCACTCCTGGGAAGGAAGATTGGGCAATCTACTTCTGTAGTGATATCACCTCGGAAACCAAGGAGGGGTCACTACAAGTCATACTCCATTCAAGGGCAGTGCGTTGCATTGTGTTGCGTTATGGTACCCAACACTTGAATAAATATTTATTGCATAAATGAGTTACATATATGGTGACGAATGAGGTTAAAGTAGAAATTTTTTCAAGAATATTTAAGACTGTTTGAGTTTAACTGTATGCTTTATTTTGATTAGAAGGGATTAGTCATGTTGAATATCATTCTCACTCATTCTTTCACTTGCAGAGAGATGTCTGATTTAATTAGCTATGTGGCAGACCTACATTTCAACAAGCAGAAATTGGAAGAGGAAAATAATAAGTTTAAATTGGTGTTAGAGGCCTTGGAAGAAGATAACACCCAATTATCAGAGAACTGTACTGAGTTGCGTTCTCAGATAAAAAGGTGAATCCTAGGGTGATACTGTGTGATGGGAGCTTTCAATTCTTTTTTTAAAAATTTAGATATAATTCACATACCATAAAATTTACCTGTTTAAAGCGTACAATTCAATGGTTTTTCATATATTCACATAGTTATACAAACATCACTATTATTTAATTCCAGAATATTTTTATCACTCCTAAAAGTAATCTCATGTTAATTCCAGTCACTCCCCTTCTCCACTCCCCCCACCCCCACCCTGGCCATCTGTCCCTAGCAAGCACTGTTCTATTTTCTATGTCTGTGGATTTGCGTTTTCTGGACATTTCATTTAAATGGAATCATACAATATGTAGTTTTTTGTGTCTGGCTTCTTTTACTTGGTATAATGTTTTCAAGGTTCATATAGCATATAACAGTACTATGTTCCTTCTTACAACTGAATAATTTTCTACTGTGTAGATATACTACTCTTTGTTTATTCATTTGTCAGTTGATAGACATTTGGTTTATTTCTACTTTTTGGGATTTCAAAAAATACTGCTCTGATCATTTGTGTACAAGTCTGTGTGGATTTTAAAAAAAACTTTTTTTGTGATTTGGGTGAAAGTTTACAGAGCAAATTCACTTTCCACACAGCAGTTCATACACATTTTGTCTCGTGACATTGACTGCAATTTCCCACATTGTAACAGCTCTCCTCTGCTTCCCCCACATAGGTGCCTTTTCTCTGTGCCCTTCCCTCATGCACTTCTTTCCCCTGACCTATCTCCCTGTGCATACACAGCCCTTCTATTTTCCCATGATTGATCTCTCCAAGGAGTGTATCTACCTAATGTAAATGTTCAGCTCATATGTCTGTCTTTTGTTTGGCCGCAAGCCACAGGAGTGGGTTCAATTTCAGACCTAAAGGCAGCTAGGGGCCATAATCTCAGTGGTTTCATCAGGTCTATCA